TGCTCCAACTTTTATTTTTTTGTATTTTTGTATTATTTTATAATTCTTTTACTTAGATTTTTTGTTTTTGGTGAGGCTTACGCCTCAATCCGCCTCGCCTCATAAAGAAAAACCGCTTTTTAAATCTTGAGAAGGACCGAGGGAAGTGTGAATGCTTTAGTTGATTTTTTCCAATCTGCTGTTAGAAAAACGTATTGCATTACATAACCATCTATCTTTTTGACAATTCACTAAAACTTCCATTTCTTAGTTAGTTATCAGGGAAGAAGCCATCATCTGTTAGCACTTATGGCGTCATTACACACAGTAAATTGTTTGCAAAAAATGGCAAATACAAATAAAAACTTCATGAGTGCGCACATTCAGTTGTATCTGTAAAATAATGCTTGAAGTATGGTGAGAATGAAAAGAACAAAAGAAATATATCTCACCAAAACAGCAGCTTAGTTTTACGAACCAACTGGACTACTTCATAACCAACATCAAACTCCAGTAGCAGCTTTGATCCCAGAATCCGCCTTTCCCTGAAATGATAAACGATGCAGCAATTTGAAATACAAGTCAGGATGCACCCAAGGAAAGAAAATGCATATGACAAAATTTGAAATGTTGATCACTAGTGTCTCAGCAAGTTATGTGAACTGCAGTACAAATCAAAAAATGCCAACCATCAGATATTTAGCAAATAAAAATAATCTTTTCATTAATGAGATGAAATTCAAATAAAAATAATCTTTTCATTAATGAGATGAAATTCTTCAAGGAACATCAGAAAATATGAGATATAACAAAGGATTGTAATAACTTGTCAAAACATTTTTGGATCTTTATCATTTTGAACAAGTCAAACGGGTTTCATTCTTTTATCAGACAGTTCCAAGGGGTTATCTTAAGCTTTCAGAATCCTTCAACTTCTAAGTGAGTTAATTAAATCAGTGATCACCGAATTTTATCCTTGGTTACTACTTGCTCACCGAAGAATAAAAGGTAACTGAATGCTCACTGAACTATTTATCTATTTACTGACGCCGGGCAGAATAGTGATTATTCTGCAGGCTGGGTTCAATTGACAAAAACAGAGAAGAACGCAAGAGAAACACAAAGAAAAACGAGAAAATTCTTTATTATTCAACAACTGAATGAAAATAACCCACAAGCCGGGTTAAATAGCCAGAAAATAATAATAATCGGAATTTTGCCAAAAATAGCAAAATCCTAATATT